AGTCCGAATGTCAGTAAATAAAACTCATTATAAGGACGCCTGGAAAGATACATAAAATACATGTAGTCAACTGGGTGTAGTATTTCAATTTATTAACATATTGGATCATGATTTTAGTTATCTTTAAACACATTTCAAAATGCATACTATTCCTAAACACCTAGGTGCAACAAAACAAGCATTTGCTCCATATTAAAGGTGCAAAATTTCAATGTTAAGGGTTCTTTTGTCGTACAATAAGAAAAGGAAAATATATAACGAGTTTATATGAAGTTTAGTCAAGCAAGAATATAAGTCTGGTTACCAAATACTTAGTGCAGGTTAAAATGTACTAATGTTGCTAAGCATGGATGCCTTTAAAATTCAGTATTTAATATTTCTTAGTTTAGTAGCTCGTAATATCACCAGCCTATTCTCTTTAAAGCTTTCACAAAACTCGGACTGCAACTATCTTCTAAGATCCCGATCTGTTTTAATCATCCGTAATAATTCGTAAATCCTTCTCACTAATTTGAAGCAACGATTAGTAGTCATTATGACTAATTAGTATCATGTTAATTTTACCAAATCTATTTCCTAAGTATTAACATTTAAAATAATCTGGATAATGCGCAAAACTTAAGAGACTTATAAACTATCTTACTTATCTTTGCTGTACCTTTAATCCCATCCTAAACAGAATTTTCAAACCCAATCTAGACTATTCGACAAGTCGTACATGATAGATCTTACCAAAGTCCTGTCTAAACTATACAAAACTATTATACTTAACATCACTTTATGTCTGTGGACTATCGCACCATACTTTGTATTAATGAGCATATTTGTCTAACAGAGTATTATTTTTGAAGGACCTGAAAAATGCAACTGCGTTAGGTATAATCTTGATGACCTGTGAAAATGACTAGATTGAGCAAGGGACAACTATTTCAGGCCAGTGCACACATCCTTCCTAAAAGCAGTTTCTGATTCTGTACTTTCAAATATTACAGCCGGCGGTGAGAATTTATAGAACAGGATGTAGTGTGGTATTCTTAGAATTAAACTCCTTTCATCTACTCTTTTCATTATGGGAGGGTATGATTGTTACAAATCCTGGTTATCTAAAAGGAGCAACTCACAGTTGTTATACTTCAGTATGGTTGTTAAAGCAACTTACAAGTTGAAAGCCATTTCCTAGTCAACCACGTGCATTTATCATTTTGCCGATTTCTGACTGATCCAATCTGTCAAATTACATAGCTCTCACCATCTTCAATACAAATATATATATATATATATATATATATATATATATATATATATATATATATATATATATATATATATATATATATATATATATAACCCTCGATTTTGTATCACAATTATTTTAGCATGCTGTATAGTTCACTGTTCCTAGCTGCTTCCTGCTTCAATAAAGGAATACATGTTCATATTACAAATTATTTTAGCCCTTTTTAAATACCCTTTTTTCATAGTAAACCACTAAACCAACCTTTTTATGGATGCATCTCTATAATTAATAAGGTCTTATAACACTTGGCGCATTGTATACTTCAACATATGTGGGCTTTAAAGTTCTCAAACATATGAAAGGAAAACAAACTAAAATTAATAGAGAAGACGAAGAATGTCGAATCGCCCTTGCTCCTTTCATTATAGCTGAACAAGAACGATTATACTTGAAACAATTACGAAAAAATCGCGAATACGAACAGAATTTAATGGGTGATGTTGCAGGCTGGAAAATTGGTCATTGGTTTGACTACCCAGTTTATCATAATCCTCGAGGTTTATGGTGTGATCCGGATGTGAATGAGTTTTATGCTCATGTTGCTGATTGCGATAAAGATTTGAGGCGTAAAGTGCGAAATCGTTACTCTTAAGTTGTGCTGGCAGTGGGAGCTTGGAAGCACTTTTTATTTTTGAAGGACTGATAATTTGAATTGTAGTTAAATATGTACTAGATCAAATACAAATTTACTGTTGAGACCATTGCTTTTTTTCTTTTGCTTTATAAGTTTAATCGCGGTCTCAAATGTTTAATTCTATACGCTAACCCCTAGATCCCAGCTCTGACATCATAAAACATTCATTTATGTTGTCTGTTTCCTGATTGGTGGAATGGGTCATAACGGTTCAAGGTCACACAAAGCCGTTGCTCAACTTTGCCCTTATAGTTCAGTTATATCGGATAGCGTTAATCAGATTTTATTGATTTATATATCCATTACTCCACTGGTTGTTTAGATAGATAGATACATAGATTTTATCGACAGTTTTCTCCAAGTATGAAGTCAAAACAGGGGTTCGATTTCATCGGTGTCCTTTCTACATACGATTTACGTGTATATATTACAGGTTATCGAAATTTCAGTACGGATAATTGTTGATTTATATATTATCAGGTTTATTATACACGTCATCAAATTTTTTTGTATTAATCGCTGTGGCTTAATGGTTAAAGTGATCAACTTCCAACTATTGGGTACTAGGTTTGAACCCCATCCCGGCTGATTCGGTTTGGACATTATCACTAGACACCATATTAGGAAATTGTGGTTTACAGCTAATTATATTTATAGTACTCTTCAGAAATAGCTCATCTAGTATCCAAGACATGATAGCATACTGAGTTAAATCAATACATAATATCTACTGTAAAAATATTGATAAATTTCACTGGGAGCCACAGATCTATTGGGGGGTACAAGTCTGTTTAGAGTAATGTGGTAAGCGTGACAGTTATGATTTGTAATTATTTTTATCCTGTTCACGCATAAGTAGCCATACAAAAAGTGGAAATTGTTAGAAAAAGTCAAGAGGAATACGAAACTGGGTTATCTATTTGCTGGTGAGTTTTGGTTCTATAAGTTGCATTCATCACAGCTTGATCTCAATCAGTGTATCATTGAAAACCAGAGAGCGATGGATAGCTATCCCATTCTAGTATGTGACTGTTCAGTAATGGGCACCTACGACCTCATCAGGTGCTGGTTTCCAATCATACCCTGAGTGAGGTCACTTTGTGACGAAGAAAAACCTACAAAACAAGCCAATCTTTACAGAACTCTTTCAACTAAACTATGATAGCCAAGTTAATCGTGTCTTACTTCAAGATGCTTTTGACTGATGGGTCCAAACATGTCGGAAGTGGGACAGTTGCCACCAATGAGATTAAATAGTTGTCACGTGGTATCAAATTAATTGAAGCAAACTCTGTGCTATTAGACGCCTACTTGTTTATTGTGTTACATCTTTAACCATTCATAAAGTCCAGTTAATTACAAATCCTATAAAATCAACATAGTATGTAGTGTACCCGTTAAGAATTGTAAACTGAGTGTCGTTATGATCTGGTGGCTCACTTCTCTACTCACTTGAGTTGAGAGTCTAAGGAGTAATAATATATGTCTGAATACTCTCTCTGTTGCGCATTATTGATAGTTTTTGGAGACTGGGAATCCACTCAACCTGTTGATTATGTGACTACAAAAATAATGGTCTTCTCACTAGCATTGTATCCTAATTCAGGATCATTTTGTTGTCTCAATGGATGTAATGTAAAGGACTGAATCTGACCTTCATAAACGGCATCATTACAGTCAACAAATTGATGAATCATAAGCCTAGTTAGTGTTTTTTTTTCAATGAAAAATGGTGACTTTAGTATTCTGGTACAGTTCAAGCGGATAAAATATTGGTACCAAACAGGATAGACCAAATACTGTTCTAAAAACAAGATAAGTGCTTGGTGCAAATGTTAGCGGAGTTACTATGAGTTGACGGACTTTTCACTGCCCAGGTATCTTTGTCTTCAGAAGACCAATATTCATTTGACCTGAAAAGTAAAGCTTTCTACACATTCTTAGTCTCCTTATTTTGAATAACTGATTGGCCAATCCATTGATGACTGAACCAGAACAATGAACTTAACAGACTCAAGTGTGTTATCGTACAAAATGGGTTCCCCTTATCTTTGTAATTGCTAATGATGGCGTCCCTTTATTAAAGTGTTGTGCTGGGCGATATCCGAGATCTGAAACTGATACACAACCTGCTACGCGCTAACCCCTCAAATCGACCAGTGGGAGAAAAAGTCTATTGAACTACTGAATAATATGAATAAATACACGTTTATATAAATACATTTCTACTCCTTAGAAAATGGATTCATTTCCTTGGCAATGATATGTAGTTGTCCTTCCGGCTACTTCAGACTGTCAGCAAGTGATGTATGGGCGAGAACGATAATGATTGGTTGTCTGTTTAGTCAGACATGTAGATGGTCTGACAGGTGTCAGATGAGTTATATATTCCCCTATCCTTATTATTATTGTAACTCATTGTTGTTGGGTTGTATGGGGTTTTGGGGGGGGGGAAATATATTTACGTTGTGGTCAGACTAATCACGTATTATTGATCTGAGTTGTATTGACGTCCTGTAGAATAGACACTGGGAGGGAATCTAGTGTAGATAATCGTTTAAGGTAAATTAACGTCCCATACAGGTAAACGTGGAAACCCAACCGTTATAACATTAGACGAAGTAAAACCGAGCGTTATAACAATTGACGACGGGGTGGAAAACAAAGAACCAAGGTTACAAACCACAAGCTATAACAGCAAGTAACCTTCCACTTTGGCTACTTCTGATTAGCTAACTCCATCAAAGCAGATTTATATAATCTCGGCCTTGAGGCACACATTCTTTGTGGGGATCAATAGTATTGTCCATTTGCCAAAACCTATTTAAGTGTGGCGGGGCTTGCATATACAACCTGCTACTTAGAAGCCAAGTATTCTGATCACTATGGATGTCACCCAAATTCGATTCTCAAATGTAAAATCTAACCAGTCTCATCGTTTGTTCATTTAAAGTGAAAAAGTATCAGATATACTTATCTTTACTTTAACCAACAAATAAATATAACTTTGTAAAGGAGTACATATTTTCAAGAGATTAATATAAATTCATAAAAGACATAGATACATATTCACCAAACAAATCCTAAACGCTTGTTAGTATTAATTTTTTTATTTGTCAAGTTTCCATTTAACATAGCATTGTTACGCACTTCTTTATTGTAACGTTGATCATTCGTACTCGTAGATTGATCACTGTTGTGTTGACCATCAGTTGGATGATTCATATTAATGGTCACTAAACTTGGTAAACCGGTGCCTAGACCAGTCATTGATCCTGTATGGGTTGCTTTTTCCAATGGATAAACATTTCGACCGTTCGCTTTACAATGATTAATTACCTAGAGTTTGTGTTGTTGGAAATTAAACAGATCAATAAAATGCTAAGTGTTGTTTTTTGTACTCCGACTGTTATAATTGCATCTCCTACGGTATAGCGAACCTATTACGCAGATGAGATGAATGACATGAGCACTAAAGTTTAATTACTAAACCGAATTATAATGTATACAAACCACAGCTATATATGCACTATTGTCCTTCCAATCCAGACCAGGGCATATATACTTATATCTTCATTAGGTGTTTGATCGACTTCTTCCAGTCGTGTGTCTTGTTTTTACAATTCATCACTTATCGTTTGACTTAAAGATGAAATGTCAACACAGGCACATGATATATCTTTGTTCACCCAGCTTATGACATTGTTTAAAGCTTTTTAATGTTCGATCATTACCATATTCTGCGTTAGCTTACTCATTAGGTGAAAACAATAAGTAAAGATCGTGGATGCGCACTGCTGAGGAGTCCCATACTAGGACGAAACGGCCGTCCAGTGCTTCCAGGTTTTCAATGGTGGTCTAGCTTCAACTGACTAATGATTTCAATCTGTGAAATTTCTAAAATCTCCACAAAACCCATTCTGAAAGAATTAATAGTTGGACTATGGGTATTTTCTGACTACCTTTATTATCATTCATCCGGGCGTTCATTATTTATGTTTTTGACTACATTGTAAAGAGGTATGTGAAGGGTTGGAGTGATGAAGATAACGTTTATCTATTATTTACAAGGTATTCGGATAAAATACGCCCGATGAATTAAATGAAGATTTTATCAGTAAAATTAGTCTAGTTACCAAGTTTATAAATTGCTACCAGATTGGTTGTCTAGTGGTTTGCTAATTCACGATTTGCATAAACAAAGACTCCTAATTTACACATATCAACTTCATATCTACAATGGTAGATTAGAGAATCTAAAATAAGTTGACCATAAAATAATATACTTACAGAAAAAACTATCCTAGATTGATAAATTATAAGTACTTTCTAAAAATATTTAAATTTACGGGGTCAATTATATTTTAAGAAGAAGGAATGTTTAAATTACTTGTTTGAGTTTGTACGCCGATTGTAATCAGTATTTCGAAACGTCAGATGACCTGTGGGTTCTCATCTCTGGACATATTATCTAAAAATTACAGAGGCAACTAATTCTAAAGAGACGTGTGTGGTTGACTTCATGCAGTTTCCCATAGAGCAGTGTATTCACAATCTAAAGGTCATCGAGACTACAAGTAGTTCAACTTCTTTACAGATTGGGAAGAATTATTATTTTATGATGTGGGCTACTGGGTGCTGACCACCGCCCTCGTACCTCTAATACGTTTCAGAGTTTATGAATAGATGCTTATTTTTGTTTAACATTATGTGTAGGACTTAATTTGTCCTACAGATATTTTACTAGAACTGTAAACACGATAATGATGACCCCAGAGTCTATGTGAAAGCTATAATCAGAACAAGTGTTGTTATTAAGTAAAATAACAAGGGTCTGCTTCTTTGTTCTTTGTAACAAACTTACTCTAGTTGCGTAATCTTGAAAAAATTTTTCTTCCATTTGAATCAGTTTATTTTCATTGGTTATCGCTTCAATTTCTGCTTTGCGTTCTTTCTTGGCTAGTACTCGTTTTACCATCTGTGTCGCATTTCATAATGAGTAAACATTAATGTATAATTAATTGATAACATTATGTTACTACTTACTTTGAAAAATAAACTCCGCCTGGAGTCCCTCCGGGGGCTACTGCCGGTCCCAAGCCCGGATAAAGGAGAAGGGTTGGGCATGGGGTTAGCGTCCCCAACCCGTAGAAAACTAACTCGCTAAAAATACGCTAACCAGAAAAAATTATTCAAACCTTGAAAATAAGTAGTATGAGTTATTAATACAGCGTGTTATAAGTTTTGGTGTTTATTCCAAAATATTAAATCATTAAGTAGTTTAAAATTTTTATTTCTATTAGTATTCTTGGTTTTTGAACAAAATATGCACGGATAACCTCAGTATGAAAAAAGTGATTTTTTAGTGAATTACTCAGACCAAGTGTTCAGTACTACGATTGGGAACTGAAATCGATGTTAAATATTCCTAGTAAACAAGCAATAAAAGCGTTCACGATTAAGCAGAGAGTTCATCTTTGGAAAAATAAGTTTAATACAGCTGGTAATTAATGAGAAATCATTATGAAGCTAAAGATACGATAATCAACCTCAAAATAATAAACAATTGTAATTTGACTGAAATGACACATTACCTACTGATTCACACCTGTCACTTCTAGTGGAACATCGGCCACCAACAAGGAATATCTAAACAAACTTGACCTGGTCTCTCCTTTCCTGTTGTTTCCAGTCACTATTCATTCTTCTGATGTTTGCTTCCAATTCTCTGCGCAATGTGTTCTTTATTCTTTCACTTTGCAATCCGTCTTCACGATTCCAAGTTGGCGCTTGCCTCGTGATGCAGTTTGACGATTTTTGCAATTTATGAGGTATCTACCTCCAATGTCTTCCTAATTCCATTCTTATTTGGAAGTCGTTTTGTTCCTCCTCCCTCTTGGTGTCATGGCTCAGAATCGACCACAATGGCGTCGGTGTATACACTCCCTGTCTTCCCTTAAACTGAGAGATTGAAATCACTTCATATCTTCCTTTCTACGAACTAATTCTTTCTTCCTATACTATATCCTTATTGCGATCTTTCTCCTATGCATTACCACCTTTGACCTAACCACTCCTATGAATCCGCTGTGCTATTGACGTATGGCAACCTGGACCGATGCACATATGTGCCTGGTACTACGTTGTAGCTAACTGACTGACTCCTCCGTTGTTTTGAAGAATGTTGTGATGGTTCTGGATCCATGAGATTCCCATCCTATAAGTGCTTTAAGTTCTTCTTTAGACTGTATCGGTGCAACTCACAGAGTGTGCGGAGCATTTTCTTCTTCGTGACCAGAGTACGGCAGCATCTCTCTCGTATCTAACCTTTTTTATCTAGCTTTGGTTCAATAGGTTTTACTGATTCCGAAATCCGCCAAGTTGTATCTCCTTGTTCCCGTAACTATTTGACCAGTCCTTCCGATCTCCCACATTGTCCGAACATCCTATGTATCTATATTAACTGTTGCTCTGTTTGTTAGAAGGGGAATCTGCTAGGTTTGAAGCGATTACGAGTTCACTTAGACTGCGAACGGAACAAAGACTTGCGACCAAAGATCAAATAACTAGCTGTTCTATTGCGTCCTAGCCCCGCTAACTAGAAAGAGAAGTCAAAGTCCGAACGGGGAAGTATATTCCGCAAAATCCCAGAAGCACGAGCGATCACAACAGACACAGATCAAAGCGTAAATATACAGTACAAAACCGTCCTCAACAAGCGTTACAAAATAGCATACTAAAAGACACAACGGACCAATAGCGTTTAAAATTCTCACTGGTGGGAAATACGACATGAAGGTGAAAAGAGAGCTTTTGGCGCGGAAACAACCAAATTCAAATTTTCTAAATAAAATTACAAAATTAGGTCTTTTCCCAGTGAGTTCTGGTGACCTAACGTTCCCAAGAGAATCGACCTCGTGACTTCCGAAGAATCTCGGCTCTCACCATGAGGCGTCATAATTCCTCTAAAAGAAGGTCCTTCAAAACCAGGACAGAGTTTGAATGGTTTAAATGATTTTTTTCTGAATGGTGTTTTTTAGTAGGGTTGTTTTCTACGCGATGAGGTTGCTGACCCCATGCCCAACCCTCCTCCTTTACCTGTGCTTGGGTCTGACAGTAACGTTAGACGGGCTTCAGGTACGGTTGCAGTGATTTATTATATAATGATGTTCAATAATGTCACCGACATTTTGAATAAGTTTTGCTAGGAATTACAAATTTCCGGTTGATACTCGCAAGAAAATAGTGATTTTTTGTTGAAAAAAGTCTATTGTGCTGATGTGATTGAAAATTGGCTGTACTTGTGCAGATCCACGTTTTATCTTCCATTATAGTTTTCAGAACTATTACTTGTGTTTTATTTTCGAAGTATGTGCTCCTAGTTTACTATTTTCACCATCGTTGGTATTATTATCACTTACGATTTCTTTGAGCCAGCTTTTAGATCGATGATAACTGGAAAATTCAAGAACTTTGCAGTTATCTATTCAAATTGTTAGTTCAAAATATGACCAGATTTAAGTCTAACCCATCATTTAAAACCATAGCATGTGAATTTAGAACTGTTTATAAAATCAAATGAAATTTTTAGTGTTGGGGTGACTTATATGCTATGTTAACATGAATAAATTTATACATTAAAGGAACGTGTGAGGTTAATGATCAGAATAAATATGTGTAACATGGGGCGGGAGATAATCACGTAATTTGAAACCAGAATAAATGTTTGGTCAAGAATTACATCCGGAAGAAATATGTTCAACCATTTATTTAACATGGCTAATTTCTGGTCAAATTAGTTAACAATCTCATACACATAGTTCCTTTTACCATATTGGTGAAAGGGAAAATAAAGATTTGGGAAGAATAGCATGAATTCAGTTTATTTTTTTCGGTTCTCATCAGCTCCTTACGACCTGTAATACTTAAGAGTCATAATCACATAATCGGTTCAAATTACCTACATGAAGGAGTTCAATTGGAGGTTGATATGTACACAAATCAGTGTAATATAGCAAGAGTATAAATAAATTTAATACACTAAGTAAGATGTTGCAAATATATATTTAATGTGGAAGAACATTTTACAACACTGATAATAATAAAAAGACCGAAGGGGTAGAAACAAGTAATCAAGAAACGCTGAGTAAAACACAGTTAGCTAGATTAAAGTCACTAGTCTAGAAGACAGTCAAAATGAAATGACGTAATGATGTGACTAACTAAGAGTTGGAAAAAATTTTATGTAGTGAATAAACGAGTCATCAAAGCAAATAACAACTAACGGTCATCCACTTTTAAACACATAAATCAGGTTTCCGACGCCTGATAGCGATGATTTCAGCAAACATCAGAAGTTTTGATCTTGGTTATTCATTGGTCACCTTGAAAGATTTCCAAGTATCAACCTGATGTTCTGCATCGAAGAGATGTTCAGTGATCGCGTTATTTAGAGTAGTTTTCAATTCACAGTACCCCCTACTCACAGCCAATAAGTGTTTATCAGTGATTCGAGGCTACCAATGCTGGTTGGCGTATCATTGATTAACTCAGGGAAAGTCATAGGAATACATATTCTAACTGGTGGTTTCGTTATGTGATATTAGTGAGCGGCCATAAGTCATAACAAACAGCTCAGTGAATAAGGCATTAGTGTTAGCGAAGAAACATATATACGACTCAATAATTTTATTAATTAATGCAGTTTAATATATTGTTGTTGTAAATTATACACGCGCGTCTAGTTATTTGATTACCCTAAATCAGTTGTCAACTAGCTCAATATATTCACACTTCCCAACTGACCAGATAATTTATCCATAATTCAGTGTCTTGACAAGTAGTTTTCGAATCAATGGTTCTATCTGTTGTGGATTTATATTGTAGTGTTAATAAATTCTCATATGTAGTCAGGAAGTTTCTGTGAGCGACAGTTGTCTCCTAGGCATTTTGCAGCGTTTATCAATTTTTCTCCCAGTTTTTCGGGGGTATATATCCTTCCTACTCTATAGTGTTGTCGCCGATACTTTCTTGAAACTGACTAGGAAAAAACTATTGAAGTTGAAGTAAAGATCATAACACGTACTTTTTCGATAAATCGAATATTGAACTGTTCCGTCTGCTCTCGGTTGTATGACAATGTCAAGAAAGAGAAACATGTCTTTCTTTTTGTCAATCGCTTGTTTAAGCTCCGTGTTTCCAACCCTCTGATTTTTTCTTTATTATCGATGCTGTATTTACAATATTTTACTTCGTCTGTTGAATTTATTTATAACCTTGCTATACTATACTGATATGTCAACCATCTGACGAGTTCCAGACAGGATAAATGGACTTGGATTTTATAGCCAGTCATAACTGAATTAACTAAAACTCATATTAACCATGTTTGAATGAAACACTGATCTTTTATTTACATAGGGTAGCACCAGAAATACGTTGGATTTCTAGATTGTCCAATCTTATATTTCTTGTGAACCAATTTGAACTGAGTTTGATATTTTTTCCAGATTTTATAATCAAACATATATTGAATACATATTTTATTCAATTTAAATATAAATATGAACCCCAATGATATATAGTAATATAAGTACTTCGTTTTTGAACTTTCTAAAATTGTTACCCAACATATCAATAAAACAGGTACGATTCTATAAGAAAAATGGACCGTTAAATGGAACAATCTGTGATTATATATTAGGAAAGGTACATTTTAACCAATTTAGGGCTCATCATAAGCATTTACCAACACCTTAGTGTTGTTGTTCACACTGTAAATACAGGCAATATCTATGCATTCTCTTAAGAAGCCTATATCCTGACAAAAGTTGATTAAATGCTGAAATAGAAAAAAAGTGCACAAATAACCTTCTAAATGTCGTTGGGGTGCTTTATGTATACTATAGCGGGCGTCTGCAAGAAATGACTCTTATACCTAACTGTACAATCAACTCATGTTCAACAATCAAACTTACTGATTCCTGCAGTAACTGTCGTGATAATTGCTTTCGTTCTTCCAGTTTTTTTGTCTTACATGCATTTTCATATTCAGTTAATGCCAATTCAGCTGCTATCCTTCCACGTATTTCACATAATTCTATTTGTTTCTCGTCTTCTAATCGTTTTCTACGTCTTTCTATTTCATCCACTCTATATTCATTGATTTCTTGGATAATTTTCAGTTGTTTGTCATATTTTTCTTTTGTATCTTGTTGGTATTTTTCTTCCTTTTCTGTTGTTGCTCTGTTTAAACGTGCTTCTTCATTGGTTTGTGCATTTTTCAATTGTTCTGATAAATATTCTTGTATTTTTTGTAGTTCGGCTTCTTTTTGTCTGATATTTATGAAAAAGGTATTTTTTATGGAGTGGGAGACATTTTGAAGATTTTAGATTTACTCTTCTAAATTGAATTATTGAATGAATGGACACTTTAGTGCCAGTCTAGACAATTATTATCATTATCAGTTCGATAAATCCATGCCAATCTAAACCTTGAATGACTGACGTTTTTTCTGATTATGTATATCACAAAAATCGATCGCTTTATAATTATTAACAACATATCTGAACTTTCGATTCCCCTGAAAGACTGAACATGAGGCTTTTAAGCATATTGATGAGCTCATCACTTAAATTATTATTGGTTAGAATCTAATGGTTTACATTTCCAACCCAGTTGTAGAGTAAGAGTGATATACAGCCTCAAAATAGGTCGAAAAAGTTGCTCAGTGCCTCTTGATTATCAGTGGTTCCTTCAGTTTAATGTTAATATATAAATAACAGACAATATTTCAACTCCTAATTACTTACTACTATTTAATAGTAGCTACTTATAATGATTAAATAACAAGCATTCAGGTTAATGATAAATTCAGTGCAATTTGAAGTGTGTGAATTCACATACTGAAACATATCACGTTCCTTCATGATACGCATTTTTGTCATTTTGATCTTAGCTGCTGCAAACAATCGACATTGTTCTTCAATTTCCTTTGATTTTCGTTTAGATGTAATGTGAAAAACAAACACAAAATCGGAAATGAGAAAAGATAAACAAAATATGGAAGATTTACTCTTTGATTATACATTTGTTGAAGTGGTTCGTATAGATATGTATGAACGTGTTAGAGCCTAACATCGAGAATATTTATCTTGGTAAATTAAAAAAACAAAAAAAATGATAGATAAAATCTAAGTTCCGAACTAGGTTTTACGTAGCTGTTTCGTTCGTATTATCAGATTATGTTTTCAGCCATAAAGAAACGCGTATTCTTCGTTCCATGTAAATTTGAGGTAATAACGTGTTTTACTGAATATAGCAGTAAACTTGATAAAGAGACAATGGCTAAATATGTTAAGTCTTAATTAGGGTGAATTAGATGAGTGGTATATTGATAATAAATAAGTGAAATAGTTTTAACGTTGACGTTTTGGAATACTGAATATGGATAAACTGCTATTCACTATCATAGCTACCGGCTAATACAAAAAATAAACCTCAGTTCAAAGATCTATTCATAAGAAAAAACAGACTTATTCTATTTGTGTGTGGAAAGACATTCGTAATAGTTTGGGGAATAGATCAAGAGGCAATATATTAAAAAAATGAAACGATAACAGATAAATGTCCTCGACCTTTTTAAAGATGAGGAACATTTAGTAAAAAGAATCTTCCTGTAGGAAAATGTTAATTTTCAGAAAATTAAATGAGGAAATAGTATGTACCTTAACCAATTCATGACAGGAATTAAATTATCCCAAATTAGGTGAACCCAGTTTAAGTGTCATGAAATGAACCAGCTTCCAGTCGACTTTAAATATCTACACTTAGTGTCTAAATCTCAGGGTTAGAAGTTTTGACGACCATCCCTAGGGTATTTAATATAAACTGCATCAGCCGGTAAAAGAATGCGACCATGCTTCATCGTTTAGTACAAAAAGAGTACAGTAAAAAAATTTTATTTACAGTAAAGTCGTTATAAATAGGCTCGTTAGTTCAGGCTGAAGTAGTCTATTACGCATCACTTTATTCATTGGCGAATAAACTGCTAGAATGAGAGCACAATTTCGTAACGTAAAGTATAAAATTTTCTGTATAAATGCTTGGGGAGTATATCTTTGACAGTTTATACACCTAGACTCAAAATTTATTAATAGATTGCTTCTTTACACAGTTTAGTAATAGAACCGATCAGTAAATCTATGCACTTTTGATCTCGGTAACTTCAAAATTCGAAAACGAGTTCCATTACGGTTTACGATTTACTAGAAATCAGTACTCTGCTTCGGTTTGGGCACCCGAGCAGTATCCCAGATCTCACACAAATTGAATGACTTATGTGGCGCATATCTATTTGGTGCATCCTTGTACCAATGTTTATGTGTTTAAATAAATAAATAAATCAGTACTTTGAGGCGCCAAGTAATAGGAGTCATTAGTGTTCACATTATCATATATTTTCTCGTCTTCTTAAAAC